AACAGCTAGTGGTTTCCCGCTCATTTTCACTGTGTACTCCTGGGACCAGTCTTGCCCTGGGAGTTTCCAGTTTCCTGAACTCTTTTTTTCTCCTCAGCTTCTTCCCTTCCAAGCAGGCAGCTGTACTTGGGTGTGGTTGCATGATAGGTCATCATAGGATGAGCCAGCTGATAGCAGAACAAAGAAACAGAGTGTAGAAATGCGTGGCTGGGGCACTCTCAGGGCTCCTCATTTGTAGTAAGGAGGACTGTGGGTGCATGCAGCGCCTCTCCCCTAAGATGACAATATAAAACTGCAAGGATAATAAAAAACTATGGTGAATGCTAAGACATTTTTAGGCCTTACTACAGTAAAAGATATGTTGCCAAGAATTATGGAATAGATGTGTTTAAGTATTTGGGGGTGGTTAGTATACCTTTTATCGTAATAATTTTTAAAATTTAAATGCAGTGGTTTTTTTGTTTTGTTTTGTTTTTTCTTGTTTTTTGCATTTTAGGGAAGGGTCTCACTACTAGATCAGACTCGTAGTGACCTGCCTATTTATAGCCTCTCAAGAGCTGGGATTACAGGCGTGATTGCTGTATCAGTGTGCCCCAGAGGCGAGGCTGGCTCGGCAGGCCTAGGGATCAAACCCCCAGCCCCTGCGCCTGCTTACATGTGCTTTAATCTGCTGAGCTATTTGGCCGGCCCTTAAATAGTGTTTTTGATCACCTCTTGTTAACCATTTACGCAATTCCTGTCAAATAAGAACATTATAGTACAGCCTCCACCTCGTTCACCAGTTCTAGAACTACCCAACCTGTGGTGTTCCCCAAAGCCAAAATGAGCATGAAAGGTAAACATTTTTAATCCATCCAGGACATAGGGGCAACTGCAACCGCTCAAAGGCCTCTCCTTAGTTGCACTGTCGTCTTGTTGTCGGAAGTAGGAGTTCATCTCTTGTCTGGGCTCCCACAGAGGGATGTCCTATGAGAAACAAAATGACATAGTATTATGAAACTAGACCCTGTTGTTTTAATTTTTCAATTTTTTAACCTTTTATTTATTTATTTTATTTGGTATAGGGTCTCACTATGCAGCTCAAATTCATAGTGATCTCCTTTCTCACCCTCCCCAGTGGCAGGTTTGGTGCAGGTTTGGTGCTGGCACAGCATGCGGTACTGGGGCTTGAATCCAGGTCCTTGTGCTTGCCAGGCAGACACTTAGACTGCCAAGCTCTCTCGCCAGCCCGAAACTGCTGTTTTAAAGTCAGCAGTTACTAAAGAAAAGCATCAGCTCACCACCTTACAGCTATCTACATGTACATTTCATGGTCTCTTATGTGAATGGGGATATTCATACAAACATACAAATAGTTTATACATATATCTAAAAACAGAATTAGACCATTTATAAAAGTGTATATTCATAATGTTTAAAAGTTAAGAATATTGTCTGGCATGATGCTGTACACATGTAATCCCAGCACTCAGGAACCTGAGGCAGGAGGATTGCCAGCTTGGGCTACATAAGAGAGTTCAAGGCCAGCTTGCACTACACAGCAAGACCTTGTCTCAAAAAAATTAAAAGTAAATAAGTAATAAAAAAAAGTAGTAATCCTTACTTCTCCTGTTCAATAAGTTTTTGTGTCATTTAGTATCCAGACCAATCTGAATTATCTCCACTGACTCCAAATGCCTTTGACAGCTTGTTTGTGAACTAGTATCCATACTATGGCCAAGCTTTACATCTTGTTGTGTCCTTTGAAGTTCCTTTTTTTTCTTTGTTTACTTCCCACTTTTTAGAAAAATTTTAAAATTCTGATGTAGCCATATTTGTCTTGTAGAGTCCTGTGTTTGGGTCTGACTGATTATTTCCTTGTGGCATTAAGTTCTTTCCTACAAGTTATATACTTCATGTTACCTCTTATCAAGGTCGCTTGTCACAGAAGACAGGTCATCTGGTCAACCCACTGTTATTCATCAGAACATTCCTGGGTTAGGTTAGGTTAATCTTTTGCCTCCATTATATGGTATATTTTCTTGTTCTGACTAAAAAGAAATCTGATGTAGTGAAGCACCACTAGTCGTTCGTCTGATGACTTAATATCAGCTGCCAGTCCTTGCCTGAATCAACGGTATTGTTCTTTGCACATGTGCTGACCTGGCTTTCTCCTGTACGGTGGCACTTTGCTTCATCAGCTGGGGATAATTAGCTCCCTACCTGTAGAATTTTTCTTTTTACATTGCCAGTTCCCACAGTAAGTTATTTTATAACTGCTTTAAATAGTGAGTAGTGCATTTTCCTGAAGAACAGCTGTGTTGTGCTTTTCCCTAGAATAATGGGCCTTGCATTTATATTGATTCAGTGTATTTCAAACTAATAGAGTGTTTTATTTTTCTTCACACTTGAAGTTAGTTGTCACCTCTTGGGAGCCTGTTCACACTGTTTCTTCTGCAGTGGTAGCGTTGGAAAGCTTTCTTACTTTTAAATACTGCTAATTTTACCATCTATGTCATTACTGGGTCTGCTTCAGTTTTACCTGGTTTTGGCAGTACTACAGGAAGCGCCCAAGGCATTTGCACTGAGCTACACCCCCAGCACCCACCACCTCCCCCTTTTAAAGACAAGGTCTCACTATCCAGTTTAGGGTAGCCTTGAACTCATTATGTAGCATAGGCTGGTCAGAAACTCATAGTGATCCTCCTGCCTCAGCCTCCTGAGTGCCAGGATTAGAGGCATGTGTCATCATACCCAACTGATTTTCATTTTGTGATGAGTAGATTTTTTTTTTTAATGTACTTAATACGGGGTCTATAGGGTCTCACTACACAGATCAGACTCGTGGTGATCCTCCTGTTTTCAGCCTCCCAAGCACTGGGATTTCAGGTGCACGCCACCACACCCAGGCTCGGTCACTGTCTCAGCACGCCCGGGGGGAGGGCCGGCATGGCATGTGGGGGATGGAACCTCAATCCCTGTACTCTGCCTAAGCAGGTGCTTTAGTCTGCTGAGCTATCTGGCTGACCCTAAGGGTGGGTTATTTTTTTCTGCTCTTTTTCATGCCTGATTCTTTTTTGGGGGGTGGGGGGAGACATACCAGACATGGTGATTTTAATCCTGTTGTATACTGAATATTTTGGCACTGTAGTATTTTTTGGCTTTGTTTCGGAATCGCTTAAGTTACTTTGAAATTGTTTAAATTTTTTTTCAGGTATTTAAGCTTTTACAAGCTGAAGAATAATATTTACTTTAATATTTTTTGCCACTGTATCAAAGTAAAACTCTGTTGATACAATGCATGATACAATGAAAATTTTGGAACAGCCTAGTGTGAAGATGGTTCTCTGAATTGTTTCTCATGATTCTTTCTCTGACTGAGCAGTTTCATTAAGTGTTGTCCTGGTCAGGGGTCAGCCACAGACCTGGGGCCCCTAGGCATAGCTGAAGGGCTTTCTAGGTGAGCTTGCTGTCATCCAGCATGCTGCCTGAGATGCACAGCTCTGCTTCCACAGGTCAGAGATGCCTGGCCTTGAGTGAGTTCTCCATCCCTGATCTGTGGCTTAAAAGGTCTCTCCAGAGAGTAAACTGGGGCAGCTGGATGGCTTACTATGTTTATTTCCTGTGTCTCAGGATCATCGTCTTTTATTGCCTGGTTTCCAGTGATTTGAGAGTAGTTTCATATATTTTATTCTTTTTTTTTTTTTTTTTTAGATTTAATTGGCAACCCAACTTTAGTGCCTGTTACCCCATCTCTTCTTTGCATATTGATTTCCAAATTCACATTTACATCAATTTTTTTCCATAATTTTATTGAGAAATAAATAGCAATGAGACCATTTCAAATCAAACTGGTAGGACAGTTCCAATAATTAACACATTGCATACTGCCTTCCTAGTGGTTATTTGTTGTACAAGATGCAGACATAATATTCTATTTACAAACACAATTACAACAGATCCCTCTATTCCTTGGATTAAGAGAATGTAGCTATATCTCTGTCCTAGCCACTTTGAATACACAGATACAAAATGGTCATTCATCTATATCCCCTTTTCTTATTTAGTTCCATCATTTAAATATTATAGGTATGTGAACTCAGCAAAATATTCCAAAATAGTCCAGTAGTCCATAATAGTACTGGGTCTTCCATTTAACTGGCAGTGTCAGAAGTTGTTGACCTGAGTCCTCTACAGCTCAACATAACAGCATGGCTTTATTTCTTGTACTTCGTTTTTATACTTTTCTGTACATTTACATCTATAAAGTAAAATAATACCACAAACTGACAGGAGAGTTGTACCTGGAAAAAATACGTCTCATAACACCATGTAACATCATGTAACACTGAATTCTATACTGAGTAGCCATGGAACTGGGATTGAGGTCTGAAAAGTGAGCTCCACAGTCCTCTGGCAGCTGTTTTATAATCTGGCCATAGATTAGTCTTATAGGAACCAGTCACTAATCGCAGCCCACTGGGATGCTGCCTTTTGAGCACCTCCAGGAGTCCACACCAAAGGACACCTGGTTTTGCTTCTGAATGATGGGACTGTTCGGCCTCTCACAGCTGGGCTCAGTAGGACTCTCTAGACTGCGTTAACTTACAGGTGATGAGCGGCTTCTGCTAATCTTAAATGTGTATTTACATGCATGATGGCTTTGAAAGCAAATTCAAAATCTTAACATTTTCAAATGTAATTTTTTTCCTCTGAGTTTGTTTCATTGGCTACATGGTGTGCCTGATACTTGTTTCATCCCTTTTGTGGAGTTTTTGGTTGTTTTTAGTGTTTCAGTGATACTGTTTTCTTATATCTTGGTGACAGTGTATTGCATACCAAACAACACACCCCAGAAGATGCAGTGCATTGATGATAATTGACTACCAGGCAGTTGGGACTTCTGCATGTAATGTCTGTGTGAGTGGCATGCTAGCGTTTTCTGGTAAATTTAGGCCTGCCATGACATGTTTTGGTTAAAAGTTTTTACCCCATTCACTGAACACTTTTTTTATTTTAAGGTGGATATTTTGGCTCAGATTGGTTGTATTGAAAGTCTCAGCCAGTCACCACCCTCTTCCTCTTCTCCTTCTCCTTCTTCCTCCATAAATAAGGTAAATTTCATGCTTGGGTGCTACAGGAAATAAACATTTAACAACTCTTCCAAGTAAACTTTTCTTCCTAGTGAGGTGATTGTTTCAGGTAAAATATTTTGTGAAAGCTCTTCCAGGGCCAAGTAACCTGAAGTGGAAACTGCTGTGGAATTAGGGTCTTAGAAACCTAGCTGAGACTTTCCCTAAAACATGATCGGTGCATTCCAGAGAAGAGTTAATTCTGTGAGTGACAGGCAGGTAGGGCTTGGTACCATGAAGGGACAAGAAGAGCCAAAGATGTGGCTCTGGCTCTGCAGAAATGAGAGAAGAGGGAAGGGTATAAGGGAAGGCTAAAGAAGCACCTCAGAGCCTGAAACCTCAGTCACGCATCAGAGTGGGGCATGGCGCGACCACGTGTCTGCAGTTGAGAGAACAAAAGAGTTGATTGCAGTCAGTAGCAAAGAAGTCAGTGGCCAGAGGATCCAAAGAGATCATCACAGCCTGGCTTGTTATGACAGGGATTAGGTTTTGGAAATGCCAAGCTCTTATGATTTAGCACAGACTAAAACTGCTTGTGCCAAAAGTCTAAGAATGAGGGGCTGCTGTTGAGCTTTATAGTGACATTGTTCTTTTATCTATTTGAAGAGAACAGATCTTTGACCAGAATAGAAAATAATCCTTTGTGCTTCTCTAGAAATCTGATCTGGCATACCATCTAGATTTGTGTGCTCACATAATGATGCAGCCACCTAGTGCTGAGTTTCTCAGAAGCTGTCCCATGGATACATGACAAACAAGTCCAGTTGTCATGTGTCCAATTTCCTGTAGCTGTCATACGCTATGGATGTACAGTGTGCTCTCCTGCCACTCCCACCCTTCATGGTCACCCTGACTCCCTTCTGTGTTCTGTGTGGCTCAACAGTTAGGTGTTTGCCTGTTTCCTTTTCTTTCTGCTGGATCTTAGCCAATGCCATAAATGCTTTCAGTGAATACCTTAAATTAGTCTCCTCATACAAAGCCAATGTAAATAAATTTCTTCTTTTGTCTTAAAAGGATAAGCTACCTTTTAAATTTAGAGTGTTAAATCTGCAATTCTGTTGAGTGTTGAGTATACTGTGTTTAGCCCTTATGGGACATTTAAGTTTGTTGGGGAAAGGGGTTAGGAAGAGACTTAGACGTAATCAGCTAGTTTACCACGAGGCAAATTATAATACGGCTTTTATAGATCCAAAAAAATATATTCTGGTATTGTATTTGCTTAAGAAATACTTTTTTGTACTAAGTATTTTCTTGTGCCAGGCCCTGTGTTCCTAGGTACCAGATGAGACAGGTGGCTCTTCCCTGTTTCTTGTGTACCCTCTAATGGAGCTCAGAAGAAAGTGATTGTATGTACAAATTTTGCAGATTTTTTTCTCCAATATTTTGTTAAGATTTCAGGCATAGAAGGGCCGGGGAGGTGGCACAGTAGAATACGCACTTGCCTGGCAAGCGCAAGGGCCTGAGTTCAATCCCCAGTTCTGGAAAAAAAAAAAAAAAGATTTCAGGCATAGAAAAGTTAAACAGAATGTATAGTGAAGAATCATTTACCCACCTTCTAGAATTTACCATAAACATTTACTGTTCTTGCTTTCTCACATATTTGTCTATCCTTCCATATACCTGTGCCTGTCTATGTCCTTTGAGCTCAGATGATGTTATTTTAAGAATATGGTGGTATATTCTAAAAGTCATTTTCTCTGTAGTTGCATGCTGAAAATCACTCACTCTGTGGTCAACCACAGTAATGAATTTTCTAGAAAGTCATTATACATAAGGAAAATCTTACCTCCTCCTCTACAAAATATTGATGTTGTAAAAGTTAGATGTCTGTCAATGAGTAATATATTTTTCATAAAAGTTATCAAGAACATCATATTTAAAATATTTGAGTTCTTGCCACTGTGAAAGATACCATTATCAAAATGGAATTACACATAATTTCTAACAAAAGGAGTCTGGGAGCCAATGAAGGGGAAGTCCTCCCACAAATATGCCTATAGCAGGAACTATGCAAGGAATGACTCAAAATCCAAGTCTTACATTGCAAATAAGTCTGTTGCACAGAGTCACTGGCCTGACAATGGCTGCAGTCACCAATGGATTAATAGCAGCTACTGCAACAAGTGCAGTAACCAGTAGTGTTTGTTTTTAAAGGAGCTTACATGGACTTCTCTCCTTTAAACAAAAAACAAACAAACAAAAAAACAACTTTTCTTTGCCCTGTGCTCTTCAGATGCACCTGTGGTACACCACGGCACGCACATCCAGGATTGTAGTCCTTTGCTAGTCTCAATATATTTGCAGCTTGGTTTGGTTTGGTTTGGTGTTTTTTTGAGAATGAGTCTCTGTGGCTCTGCTTAAGTTGATATCATTTTATGCAAGCATTTTGAAAATATTTGGGGGGTAAATGATATCTAAATAACATAAGGCTGTGCCCTTGACGTACTAGACCAACTAAAATGCAAATAACTGTAACTGAAGGCTGACGTTGGAATTGCAGGATAAGCCTGAATGTCAGCAAGTAGGCTCTAGGAAGGGCAGAGTTTTCAAGGTAGGATAGGACTGATAAACGCAGGAAGGTGAAGGGGAGAAGGCTTTGCAGGCCGGTGGAGCATGGCATGAAAAAAGGCAGTTATAGAAGAGTTTGGGAAAATCTAAAGTTTGAAACTTTAAGGATTTGTGATTAGGTAATGAGCATAGGCAACAGAATGAAAGGACCATTCTGTAAAAATGCTTGATTTGTTGGTGGACAGAGAATCATAAAATTTATTCTATGACCAGACCTAGTGAAGGGGTTTTAATTACATGTGGTTGACAGCAAGTCAGAAGGAGTCATACAATAAAATATACAAAAAGAGAGAACATGAAGATGTTTCCCAGTAAGAAGAAGGAGGTAGGAAAGGTAGAAGAAGAGGACAGAAAAGGCACCTCAGAATCAGAAACCGTCTGAGGAGCAGAATGTTTTAGTATGACTAGCTGTGTGCGGTTAAGAGCTTTGGGGTTGAGAGCCTTTGCTCTTTAAGCCAGAGACCTGGGTATGGGAAGAGCAAATTCACATAGAACCACATCTGAGTCTGAGCTGGTAGGGGGCACTGATGGGAGAAGCAAGGCCCGCCAGCCCATGAAGCTTATCTGGCAGGGGAGTAAGGGCAAAGGCACTGATGAAGACAAGAGATTTTCCAGTGGCTTAGGGTATATGTGTGTGCGTGTGTGTACTTGTGTGCATAATGCAGACATGCATGTTATTTTGGTTTGATTTTGTTTTGCAATACCAGGAATTGAACCACAATCTTTATACTGAGCTGCATCCCTAGCATTTTTTTTTTTTTTTGGTAGGGGGGATCTAACTCAGGACATTGTGCTTGCCAGGCAGGTGCTTATGCCACTGAGCTACATCCCCAGCCCCCAGCCCTTATTTTATATTTTTATTTTGAGACACGGCCTTATCAAGTCACTAAGTTACCCAGTGTGGGCTGGAACTTGGACTTTGCCTGCTTCCGTCACTCGGAGTGATAGTATTATAAGCATACACCACCACACCTCAGTAGTGGTGCGAGTTTGACAGACGTTGTTGGCAGCATGCATCAGGCAGAAACAAGATGGAGAGTGTTCCAGAAAAATACAAAGATAGGAACAAATATACAAGAGTTTTGTAACCTAGGTATATAGCTGGGATCATGTTTGCATATCCAAATAGTGTGACATTTATTACAAGTTTAGAAGTTATAAACAGAGCAATGCTGAAATAACAGTTGCATTCTTTCAGTCCAGTTGAATGGATTGTACTTTGTTTGGAGGATCCGTGCTGTGACTACTCCAGATTTTCTTCCATCTCAATAAAATTCCTTCCTGGCTAGCTTGCACTGCACTCCAGCACATGTGAGACACTCCAGCTGAAAGCAGTGGGGCTGAGGCCCAGCTGCTGCCCGTGGCAACTCGCTCCTCATGCTGAATCTTCCATACAGCCAGCTCTCTGTACTTACTGCCATTGCAGTCCCCCATACTTTTGTACCTTTTCATGTTCTTACTGTAAAAACCTCAAGAGCTTGGAGGACAGAGAGTACATGTTACTGATTCGAACTCCATCCCATATCACGGTCACAATGGAGCCATACTTTGTATATTTTGTTGCCAGATGGCTCTGAGCCACGGGTGGTACAGTCATGCATATACCACAGGTGGTGCAAGTTGGCGAGAACATGTTAATCAAACTGCGAAAGGAAGAGTTTATCCTAAGTGTCCCTCAGTTTAGTCACATCATGTCCAGTATCCACCAAGGTGTCTGGAGAGTCCATCTCTAGAGCTGTCATTTGTGAGCTGTGTGTTTTATAAGTCTGCAATCTTGTGGGTGAAACATCTTTCTGCTCTTAACATTGATCTTAGGGGAGGTAAAATCACAAGTCACTTCAATTTTTCCTAAAGCTATTAGAATAGAGATATTACAGTAATACCGGTTATTTTGGCCCGAGGCAGCCAGCTGGCCATCTCATATCATTTAGTGAGGTATAAAACATACCAGCCCTTAGGGCATTCTAAAATTTCAGAGAGGTGAGCCACACCCAGTGGCACACACCTGCACCCCAGCACTTCAGAGGCTGTGGCAGATGATTACTAGGAGTTTGAGGCCAGCCTGAGCTAGGTAGTGAGTTCTAAGGCAGCTTAAGCTGCATAACAAGACCCTGTCTTCAAAAAAGACCATCGGAGAGGTATACAACACAGTAGACAGTTTGCATAATCTTGCAAATTTCTCTCCACTTTCTTTTCAAAATTTATCCATAATCATAATGACTATGAAAATCAGTATGGAAATTTCTCAGAAAATCAAATATAGGGATTCCATTTAACCCAATTATTTGCATTCTTGTTACCTTCCTAAAAGAGTTAAAGCCATCATACTACACTGATACATGGGTACCCATATTTATAGCAGTACAGCTCATAACACTGAACCTTGGAAGTGACCTACATAATCATCTGTCAACAGCTGGATGGATAAAGTAAATGTGGTATTCCTCTGCCATAAAGAAGAACAAATTGGAATCATTCCTATGAAAATAGTTAGACCTTTTCCTACAAAGATGTGAGAGAGTAATTTTAAGCAAAAGAAATCAGACACAAGCTTAAATAATGCATGGTTTCTCTTATATGAGAATCCCAAAATATAAGTAGCAAAGTGCATTTCAAAAATATTGAAGATAATTGACCTTTTAAAGATGGTAGAAAAGGATAAAGAGAAAGGGATAAATAATTAAAATGTGTTACATCCGTGTACCAACCTCCCACAATGTATGTAATCATTGTGTATACAAATATGTACTAATAAAAATTAAAATTTAGAGAATTTTCAACACTTTTTAAAGTAAAGACTTAAAAGAAAACTCATTATTTCATATTTTTAAATTTCAGTACTGAAATCATGAAAAATACTTTTCTCTCAGTTTATCTGTAAACTTAAGGTGATGCAAATGAAACACATTTTAATTGTTTTCATAAGATTATTTCATAGCAGTCACCCAAAGAGTTAAGTACAAAGGAGTGCAGGAAATCTGTTCACACAGTAAACAGCCAAAAAATCCATCGCAGGGCCGGGCTCCCACGGCAGTATCTTGCGTGAGTCCAGCTAGAGACCTAGGGTCCCTGACGATGCCGTCCAGCAGGAGGCCTAGAGCCCTTAGCAGTGTCTCGTACAAGCCTGTTCCAAAGGGAAATCACTTTTTTTTAGTTTAGTACAGGGTCATACTACACAGATCGAACTCGTACTAATTCTACTGGTTTCAGCCTCCCAAGCAATGGGATTACAGGCACACGCCACCACACCCAGTCTCAATTGCTATCTCAATGCACCCCAGGAACAAGGATTGAACCCCCTGGCCCCTGTGTCTGCCTAAGCAGGCTCTTGAATCTGCTGAGCTAAATTGGCCGGCCCTGGAAATCACATTTTTGAACTGAACATTGTAATGCTAAAGTTTAGATGGTTTTAGATTTTTTGTGTGTGTGACTGTGGTATCAGGGCTTGAACTCAGGACCTTGCACTTGGCAGGCAAGCACTTATTCTACTGAGCTAGCTCCCCAACCCAAGATTTTTCGTTGTTTGCTTTTGCTTCTTTTTTTTTTAAAGACAGGGTTTTGCTACATAGTTCAGGCTGACCTTGAACTTCCCTGTGGAGCCCAAGCTGGCCTTGAACTCTTGTTAGTCTTCCTGTGTCAACCTGTTGGATGCTGGGATTACAGACTTGCACTGCCACACTCTGTAAGGTGGTTTTAAAGATATTAAGCTAAAGTTCTTGTTTAAAAATAAACAGATGAGGGCCAGTGAGATGGCTCAGTAGAATAAGCACTTGCTTGGCAATCGCAAATGTGTGAGTTCAATCCCTGGTTCCGCCAAAAAAAAAAAAAAAAGTAAACAGGGCTGGTGAGATGGCTCAGTGGTCTAAAGCACCTACTTAGAAGAAGTTTAGCAAAGCACAGGCACCACGGTTCCATACCCCAGCACCACATGCCAGCCTGCCCCGCCCGCTGGTGGGCTGAGCTGGCCACACACACACACACACACACACACACACACACAAATAAATAAAATTTTAAAAAATTAAAAAAAAAAAATAAACAGATGAGAGTTGTTAACCTAATGGTTTTTAATGGTTTATTAATGTTTTTCTATATAGTAGGCTCCAAAATAATGTGGAAATAGTATGAAACAGGCTGTGTACATTGCCCGTTCCAAAATTGTCTTCACAGTATTGAGACAGAAAGCTCACAGACTTTGGTGTAGGTTAAATCACCTCCTGAAGGCTGTTGAACACACTACAGAGATGAAATTTGAGCATAGGTGATCTGACCCGGAGCCCAGCTGTGTAACCAAGGCAAGGACACTTAGGACTGCAGGCGGTTACTTTGAGGTAACCAGAAGGGGAAAGATAACAAATGGTTGATGAAAGGAATAAGCCCATGTAAAAAACAAGGTGTACATCCTTTGAACAAACGGGATAAAATCATTCCCCCCCTTTAAAAAAAAATCCATGAATAATTAATGACATTCTTTTGAGATCCCATAAATGCAAAAGCCGCATTGTATAAAGTAACCATGTTTGCTTCCCTTTCTGGGGCTACTGTCTATAGAGTAGCTAGTTGTGTTTCTTTCATTTTAGCCTTAAAATTGGCCTTCCTATGATTTCCATCAACAAGCAGCTAAGAACCCATGCTAAACTATAACAGTATTAAGTAAATTATAAAATTACTCAAAGGAATAGTGGGGGAAAATTATTTTCAAAATAATTCTGAAATATGAGAGCCTCCTTTTATGCAATGCAAAGCCCTCAGAATGTCAGTAGAAATGTGGGAATGTGACTAATCTTCTTGGAAAGCAGTTTGACAGAATTTGTCAGTTCTGAATAGGCATGTGTAATCATTAGACAAATAGTGATTTTCCTTCTGGAAATTTCACCAATCTGCTAGATAAACGAGAAGTACACAGGTGTACTTGGCAATATTACACTGAAAGCAAGATAGGCCTCAGTGTGTGCTGGTTAGATTGTGGGAGATACGCAATGAAATTCTGTGGAGGCACGTAAAAGAATGTTGTATCCATGTGGATTGACATTGAGAATATTTTGTGTTAGTAAAAGAAAGAAGAATAGAGTTGAAAGTATAATGTGGGCCCACTTATGTGTTAAAAACAAAAAGGATCTCTATATCTGGAATGTTTCAGTAAGTACATGTAAGAAATTGGTTAGTGGTGTAAAACAGAATTATGGGAGGCCATTGTTCTGGACAGAGCTGCTTCACTATGCCCCAGCAGACCAGGCCAAGCCAAAATGGAGATACTCAGTTGGGCAGGGTGATGCATGCCTGTAATCCAGCACTTAGGAGGCTGAGGCAGGAGGATCTTTTCGAGTTTGAGACCAGCCTGGACTACAAAGTGAGCTCAAGGCTAGCCTAAGGTTACATAGCAAGACCTTGTCTCAAAAGGCCAAAAAAAAAAAAAAAAAGACAAAATGGAGATACTCATGCTAAATGCTACATAATCAACTGAAATGTTAAGGAAGCACATAGATTCCAACACAGACCAGTTGACCAGTTTTTTCTAAAACAGGAAATTCCATTCTGGCTGAATTAAGACTGGGAGTGGTGGCACACCTGTAATCCCAGAGTTTGGGAGGTTAAAAACAAGGAGAATCACTAGGAGTCTGATCTATGTAGTGAGACCCTGTAGACCCTGTACTAAATACATAATAAATAAATAAACTAAATAAAAAATAAACTGGGTAAATTAAGGTAAACAAGAAAGTTCTTTTTAACCCTTTATGACAAAAAATAGTTCTTTCCAAATAAAGGGCTTTTTAATCCTTATTTTAAAAAAAGGTATCTGGAAGTAACTCATGTTTACCACTCAGCTTTTGTTTTTGTTCTATCTCTGTTTCCTTACAAAACTATTGTTCTCACATTGCCCCATGGATATGCTCGTTCTTTGTTATAGGATGTACACGGCCTCATTTATGAATCTCGAATAAAAAGCCAGTTACATCTGTGATTAAACTTGTGATTTTTGTCTTTTGACAGTAGTAGTTGTTTTGCAGTGACTGGTATCTTAAAGAAGTAATCATGTTGCTTCATTCCACATCATTTTATGCCACTTGGAATGTTTTTATTTTGCATGTATTACTTTTTCAAAGAAAAGCCTACTTAGAGTGGAATGGGTTGTTCTAAAACAGTGTATGAAGCAGGTACTCAGCATCAGCATTTATAATCTCAACACACAATGTGGAGTGAAGAAAGTAGCTTGTGAAGACACACATTCAGTATGACATCTGTAGGTTGATTTAAAAACCATAGCTGTGCACATCTACCATGCAAGTGTACAAACAGGTGAGAAGAAAAAAGTACAGTGCTTCTAGGAAGGAAAAATAGAGAATTTTAACTGAGTCTAATGGAATGGTACCTTGGTCTACAAACTTAATTTGTTCTATGACTTTCAAAAAGATGGCCAGTTTTGTGGTTTCTGTTTGTGTGGGAAGGATAGCTGTGGTCCTATTTGTCACCTGATACAAATAGGACCACAGTTTGTGGAGAGACAAAAACAAAATTTTGCCCAATACTTCTGTTAGGGAACCAATTTTTTTTTTTTTTTGCAAAAAAGAGAGCTCATGAACCAAGGGCCCACTGTATGTACTTGTTCCATGTTCAAAGTTTCTTGGGGCCAACCATATAGCTCAGCAGATTAAATTGCCTGCAAGCAGGCACAGGGTCAGGGATTTGCTGTACCAGCCCCACCCCCGGGGTGCACTGAGAAGGCAGTTGAGACCAGGCGTGGTGGCACACCCCTATGATCCCAGCTCCTGGGAGGCTGTAAACAGATGGATCTTTTCGAGTCCGATCTAGCAGTGAGACCCTGAACACCCTGTAGACCCTTCCCTAAAATACAGAAAAAAAAACCTCACAAAGTTTCTAAGCAAATACAGCAAAATATTAATGTTAGTAAAAGCAGAATGATGTGGCTATTTGTGCTTCTCTATGCGCTCTGAAGGAAATTGGATTTAAAATTACTTTAAATGAATTTCTGCTGTTTTCTTTTCAGCACTCCTCTTGCTTTCAGTTGTCATATTGATACATTGAGTCAGAGTTTCCTGAAGTCTCAAATTCTGTCTTCCCCCCATCCCCACTTAGGTCAGTGGTGGCAATGACCCTTGGTCAGCCTGGAATGCCCCAAAATCTGGGAACTGGGAGAGCTCAGATGGCTGGGGAGCTCGGCAAGAGGGAGCCAGCGCTCAGAGAAGCACTGCCAACAACTGGGACACTGCCTTCGGACACCCCCAGGCCTACCAAGGACCAGGTGAGGAAAGACTCCTGTAAGAAACGGGTGGGAACCTGGGTGAGAGACAGGAAAGCCAAGGTGTTTCTGCCACTCCTATACTCACCATGACACAGAACTCCTCTGTGACCAAACCCCAGACACTAAGCTATTCTCCAGTGAGCACCAACCTACTGGGAGCCTGACAGTTTCAGTCCTGACATTGTCTACCCAGAGTGGGCCAAGGGGCTCCCATGATGCTCTCCTCAGGTTCCTTGTTTTTACAGAACACAGGAAGGCACTTAATGGTGCCAGTTTATTACAAAGGGTACAAATGAACAGCCAGCTGAGGAGATACACTAAGACTGGGTGTGGTGGTATGTGCCCGTAATCCCAGCGCTTAAGAGGCTGAAAAACAGGAAGGATCACTACAAGTCTGATCTGTGTAGTGAGACCCTGTAGACTCTGTACAA